ATTTTTTATTTACTTTTTTATGTATAGAGTAGAAAACGCTAAAATATGGCTCTGGTCTCATTTTCGTTTTACGGAATTTTAAAAAAGTGCATAACTTATAAATAATAGGAGAGACCATCAGCTTGTTAAGCGTCGACAAAAGTGAGTACGATCAAGCAAATGCGTGGGGTAGCAATAAAGCGTATTGCGAGTTAACGCCATGGACATGACCTGAGTTCAAATCTGTTGTTGGAGAAAAAGTTTGCTGATTGGAAACACTTGAACAGGGTCTTGTAGCAGTATAATATTGTGTAGCCGTTGCAAATAACTCGTGAAAGTATGTGCCGTTGTAAAACCACTAGTTTATTATGTGCGTTTGTTGTAACAAACTGTTTTGTTAGCTGATTCACTGTATGCACTGCGTTTTTTGAGGTATCACTTAAGCACTTGTAATCAGTTGCTATTAGTGTTGCCATACACTTATCTTGTGGCACACCAACTTCTTGAACACTTTTAGTTACGTTTCAATTTGTATTCGAGTTCTTACTTGTTTTGGATCTTGTAATCACATATCCTTATTATTTCATCAACTTTGATTTCATTGCAATTCAAAAAGAGCCTACATATTATTGGAAACACTAATTAATAATTTGACTCTCGTCGAACTGCTTTCTTTTTAAACCCACAACCCGACAAAAACGTATCTACAGCAACCCTGTCGCTCTTGTGAGGCATGCACGCACCACGGAGTATTGCAAATCCGCCCGAAAGCAAAAGTGCTCTCCACCAAATTGAAATCTTGTTACCTCGCTTCCGCGTCCTCCTCCTCTCAGTAGGCGAAGTTTTATTATTTGGGGGGCCACTAACGAACCTCGAGATTCCCCATTTGGGGAGGAAGTTCAATTACGACGCAACGACGCCGACACCCTCTTCCGTCTGCGGAGCGCGTCAGCACGTGCGCACTTCCGCTCGCTCAAGCGACTCCTGCGTTCGCCGGATCCGACTCAACTGATTTCGACTCTCGGTAGAAGACTAGACATAAATCGAAAAGAGTTTTGACCGCGGAATAAAATGGTTTGACTCTTCCCTTATTTCGGTTTGATTGATTGGTAAATCCGGGGGCGTCAACAGCTAAGGTAATAAGTCCCATAAGCGTGGTGCATGTTTTTATTGAATTGAGTTATTGAGTTAATGCCTTATTTTACGTGGCGAGACTCAGGCCATCAGGCCCGCTCTTCCGTCAGACCACGCAAATTTTGCTACGCTGCTCAACTGATTTCGACTCTCGGTAGAAGACTAGACATAAATCGAAAAGAGTTTTGACCGCGGAATAAAATGGTTTGACTCTTCCCTTATTTCGGTTTGATTGCTTGATTGATTGGTTGGTAATTTCGGGGGCGTCAACAGCTAAGGTAATTAGTCCCGTAAGCGTGGTGCATGTTTATTATTGAATTGAGTTATTGAGACTTCGGCATTAATTTCTTCTTACGGACCAGTCTGAAAACCATCAGCAGAGGTGAGCTGCTCAGTATCTCGGCTGCAGAGCCACGGAGAAGTGGTGTTTGACGGCCTCGCCCAGTGCAATGGCAACCGTCAACCACTGCCACGATAATGGCCGCGGGCTGCTGCCAATGGACTAAGCACCTGTACGCAAGAACGGGGCTTGGATCCTGCGTTTGCTCCTATTCATCAGAGCGTTGCTAGGACCCGGACTACACCGGACACGGCCTGCCAACTTGCAGGAATTGTCTGGAAGTGAGGTAACTCCAAAATAATTATTATGAGGACTGCCCATATCCATGAACTGATCAATATTCTCGGACAAAGAAACTTAATGAAATAAGTAGCAATCATTTATTGTAATAACTATATCTATTTGAAATAAATGCCACCCCATCACTTCTTATTCGGGTTACACTTAAAATTACAACTCTACTGTATTAATTCAAGTAGATGCTAAACAAATTGTATCCCTTCAACTTAGAGCAGCCCATCCATAAGGTTCTCAACACCGGAGCAAAAATACAGGTTTGAATACTCTTGGCGCCCATTCACTAAAAATTTAGCGTGTGCGGCCTGCAATTCGTGCGTACCAGCGCACTCCGTATATGATGGTACCCCCTTTGTGGTGACCGGTCACCGGGTCAATATCAATTAGATTATTGAATATTAGGAATCTCATACTGCGAAAGTGAGAGAGTGAGCCAGATATATTTTAATAGACCCCCTTAAAATGACTTTTTGATATACATCGTATCTCCACGAACGGTTTTCCGCCAAGTACAATATTTTTACAACACTGATTGCTTTAAATGAAATGGATATTTTTCTTGAATTTTGAAGCATGGGCTGAAAGAATTTAGGAGATTTTATTTTCCTTTTAAATATCAACACTGATAGTTACATTTGATACAGTGGCCTCGTGTAGATTCTTGTTCTATTGCGTGCGCTCGCTTATTGCAAAGGTGATTTTGACATTTTCCCAAGAAGGATTTTTGGTTGCTAATTTAATCATGTGAATGATGTCGACTTACTGAATCATAGGTGAAAATATGAGATTTTGATCTGGCTGCCTGAAATGACAAAAGCTATAATATCCACAAAATTTCAAATGGTACTCGTTTAAATGAGCTGAAACACATGTCCATCTTGCAAAGGAGCAAAAAAGAAGCAATCGACAGCAAAATAATGGATGATATGAATAGAAATTAGTAATACAGTACAATTGCTCACAAGTACAAATAGTAACTACTACTGCTCTTAAGAAATTGCTTCTTTTTAAATGAATAAACAGTTTCCTGAAACATGGAACATTTACTTCACACTTTGAGTAATTTTCTCACAATGTAATCTGTTGCAATTGGTCGATTTTCCTCTGTTTTGTTTGTCTCGTTACCACGTTACCACTCGACGCGTTCTTGTTTTTGATGATGTCGACCGTGTTAGGATGAGGGGACAACAGTTGACGTGCATTGTTGGCGAAATCGTAGAAAATCTTACATCATTCGTTCACTAACTACCTAAAACCTCACAACCAGCTCGAAACAGTCGTATATAACCTCCATTCTATCCATTCAATACCAATTGAGTCATCAACAAAGGTTGCTCTGGAAATTCTAAGTAAATGCTTCGCCCTAAAAGCATAATCTCGCTTTTATCCATAGGAAAAGCAATTGCTCCTCAGCCGAGCAATTACACACCAAAGGAGAAATTGCTCAAGATAAGAGAAATTACTCACATTCTTTTGTTATGCTATTTGAAGCAATTGCTTGGAAACATCGCGAGAGGATCGACAGATCATTTTTATTCATAAAACCAAATATCAAGGCGAATTTATAACGGCTGGTGAAATAGTAGAATAACCTGCTTGTTCGCCCTAGACGGACGCACCTACCTGGTTTGCCTGTGCTAGTCAAAACATTAAAGAAAAATAAATATGAATAAGGTGTATTTTTTGAATTTGCTGTTTCTAAAACAATCTTTTTCCCAATCTACATTGAAAAGTAATATTATAATCTCAATGAAAACTACTTGTATTGTTCTTTCTTTTTTTCATGTACCTTCGTTTTTGGCTTTCATTAAAAAAATAGTGTGTGGCCATCGAACGCATCCGAAGTTAGAAATGTAAAGTTATTTTTAATATATTTTTTTTAAAATACGCGAAGATAATAAAATTTCCCACGGCCATAAAATCATAATTGGTTAAAAATACAAGATCTAGCATTAAGGAGTAGAAAGAAAATAAGGAAAGCAAATATAGAGAAACAGAGATAGGAGGAGGATGAAAAATTCAGGTGAAAAAATATCTTGTAGAAAGAGAAAGGAATGTGTCAATATAGAACAAAAACAGCAGGTACTTTCAGAAATTATTAATACATGTATTAGAAAGCGAACATGCTTTTTCATATAACTAAGTAAACGTTATTTTAATTCATTTATGCCAATGCGATGACTTGTTAGTCTATCCTTTCTTTTCATAACATCCTGTTTCCACTTCTGCAGCTAATTTGATTTATTTTACCAATGAATAGTGAAGAAATGTATGGGATATATGTACATTCTTTTTGTTCTATAGAATCTTTTCGCCATTTTTAACCTTAAATAATTGAATAATGAAGAAAAGTACCGACAAAAGTGAGGTTAGTAACATTTGAAAATATACATCTTTTCTCAAGTGTTGTAGAAAACATCTTTGCATCTGAAAATAACTACAGATTTGAATTATTATCTTTAACAAAATAGCAATGCATTACCCTGGCTCCGCTCGTACTACATCTAGCAAAAAGAGAGCTCAATAAGATGTTAGCATCGATGGCAGGATTTTCGACACTAGCTACGTAGGTAGGTCGAATTCAACTGGCTATCTGCAGGAGTATTCTAACCTCCGGAAGTTCTCAGCGGTAATTTGCCATGGGTATCCCATCATCATCAGGAGAATGCCAGATGCTAGAATCCCAGAATCTATGCTAGTATGTTAACAAAAGGGCAACGGACCGCGCGCGACCTTGCCTTCCACTTTCTCGTTCTATTCTTACCCTTTACACACAATTACACTTACATGCACTACACTACCACGCATACCGGGAGTTAAGTTGGGAACTTAGATCTTGCCGCGGCTGAGGCGGTGCCCGCAGGTGGGTGATCTGGTTGTGGAAAATCCCACTAGCCGACGGGTAGTTCAGCGTCAGATCTCGCCTGATAGTAGGGCACCGTCGCGCCCCGAGGAAAAATCACATACTACGCTTACGGGACTAATGACCTTAGCGGTTCTTGCGCCCGCAGTCAGTTACAAACGTGACAATTACAAACGTGAGTAGTCAAGCCCGCGTAGCGAAGCTCGCGTAGCGAAGCCCGCGTAGCGAAGCCCGCGTAGCGAAGCCCGCGTAGCGAAACCCGCTTAGCGAAGCCCGCGTAGCGAAGCCCGCGTAGCGAAGCCCGCGTAGCGAAGCCCGCGTAGCGAAGCCCGCGTAGCGAAGCCCGCGTAGTGGAACGCGTCCTTGCGCAGCTGCAGAGAGGAATACCTGGAAGGGGATGGCGAAGAGGCCGATGACGATGTCGGCGAGCGCCAGGTTGGCGATGAAGCAGTTGGTGACGTTCTGCATGCGCCGGCTGGTGGCGACGATCCACATGACGAGCGCGTTGCCGGCCACCGCCAGCACCGAGATGGAGCCGTAGCACAGCGACAGCAGCGCGATCACGCTCGCCGGCACGTCGTACAGGCCTGCCAACCGCAAAACACTCATTTCATGCAGATGTTGCCTTTTTATTTTAAGTTTTTTAGACACAGCCTGTTACTTCTGCTTCATACCATCAATAGCGCATGTATATTGTGAGTGAGAGGGAGAGCGAGTGAGAGAGAGTGAGAGAGGGCGAGAGAGAGCGAGAGAGAGTGAGGGAGAGTGAGGGAGAGTGAGGGAGAGTGAGGGAGCGAGCGGAAGAGAGCGGAAGAGAGCGGAAGAGAGCGAAAGTGAGAGGGAGAGTGTGAGAGAGGGCGAGGGAGAGAGAGGGCAAGGGAGAGAGAGTGTGAGAGAGGGCGAGGGCGAGAGAGGGCGAGGGCGAGAGAGGGCGAGGGCGAGAGAGGGCAAGGGAGAGAGAGTGTGAGAGAGGGCGAGAGAGAGAGAGAGAGAGTGAGAGACAGAGTGATAGGGAGAGTAGGAGTCTGGGAGAGCGACGGAGTGAGTGTGATAGAGAGCGTGTGTATTTATTTACGTGAAAAACAGTAAAAAACTGCGTGACTTACTATGAGGAGAAGTACAATATGTATGTGCATGGTGTGTGTGTGTGTGTGTGTGTGTGTGTGTGTGTGTGGAAGAGAAAATCAAGTGCTATATCTACATCAATAATCGTTTTATTAATACGCTCCATATGTATTAGAATCTGAAAACGACTATCTGCAAAATCATTCTAATTGGAAAATATGTTTTATTACCTGCTGTTATGAGCACTATCATTAGAATTACGGAGCATAACATATAAGTTTATATACCGTTGTCAGTAAGATTTTCTTTTGAGAGTATAAAATTTCATTATATTATATTTTTATGTGAGTTCAAGGTGTAGCTAATAATTAAGTGGAAATGGATTACAATAAAATATTTATATGGATACTAATATCAATAATATATTTAAAGGTGGAATTTGATTGTAAATAAATATAGATTAATTAGTTGATTAGATATCTACAGAATAATCAATTTGAAAATGAGAAAAAGAGATGTAAAGGTACAACCATTTGAGATATAATTACTACAGTTGAAAATGCGTAAAATTTTTAAAATGCTATCCTCAGACGGAATAATGACATGTCCTGTGATGAATTATTCAGTGCAGTACTTCAGCTGCGCTACAGATTTTTAGAGCTCTCATTTGCGTTTATTTCGGCTGCGCGCGCGAAGGATCCAGGCGTTGATGCATACTAAACTCTTTCACGACTTGATTTATTTAACAGGGTATTAGAATCCAACTCTCTAATTTTCTTAATAATATGTACTTCAGACCAGTTACATTTTATTTTACTTTATGGACACTTTTTGTAGAACTTAACACAGTTTATTACTCTATAAAGATAAATAATAAAAAGTGTATTGTGTATTAAATGTTTAAAATAAATAAATAAGTGAAATAAAAACTATAAAACATTTACATCTTGTCATCATTTAAAAAATAATTAATTATTAAAGCGAATTATGTTGTAATTCCGTTTGTGGAAAACGAATCTTTAATTAATGTGAGAACTCTCACACAAAAATATTCTTTGCGAACATGTTATGAAGATACATTGATTAAAACAACATTATGTAAAGTGCGAGAAATATCGCAGCTATCAAGAATTCCTTGTATCAGTGTTTCGAGGAAATACTGAAGGTTAAAAGATAAGTTTTAATCGAATCATGTGTCCATGCCAGCAGAATAAAGTGCGTATCTTATTAACCTACCCATATGGATATAACCATACCAGTTGGAAATTTCACATCAATCGTGAATCAGAGTAATTGTCCTTTGAAGGTAATCTCTCCTTTCACGCTGCTCACTCATCCACGCGCCCCCATCTCACCCAAACCAAACACTCTCCCACGGCAAAACCCACCCATACATCACAAACCCACACAACACCCACACCCATACATACACAAACACCCACCCCACACACTAACTCCCACCCACACACAAAACACCCACCACACACAAACACCCACCCCACACACAAACACCCACCCACACACAAACACCCACTCACACACAAACCACCCACCACACACAAAACACCCCCCACACACAAACACCCACACACCACAAACACCCAACCCACACACAAACACCACACCCACCACAAACACCCACACACACAAACACCCACCCACGCACAGAAAAACCCACCCACGCACACAAAACACCACCCAACGCACACAACCCACGCACACAAACACACCCACCACGCACACAAACACCCACCCACGCACACAAAAACACAGAGTACGCACCTTCCTCGGCGAGCGTGCGTTAGTGGCGCAGCACTGTTGCGGGGCGTCAGTAGAGCGAGTCGCGTCCGGGACCCGCCGCTCCTCGTTCCACGATGCGTCATGCCCCCCCCCCTCTCAGGGCCTCCTCCTCCGTCACGCGGCCGCCGCCTCCTCCGCCGCCGCCGTCCCGCCGCCGCACCTCCGCCCCCGCCCCCTCGCCGCCGCCACCCCCGCCGCCGCCGCGCGCGAGCGGACGCCGCAGCAGCAGCCGCCGCAGCCCCGTCTGCGCGCCATCCCGCGCGGCGCGCCGCCGCCGCCGCCGCCTTTGCGCGCTCGGCTGCGCACGGCAGGAACAGGCAGAGAAGCGCGGGGGCTCAGAAAGATAAGAAGAATATGCCTAAGAAGTGCGGCCAAAATTACGGTTCGGCGGAAACAAAAAATAGTGCCACCTGAAGAATGCCTCCAGAAATGAGCGGTCACGAAAACAAATGAACATCACTTAGGATAAAGCCGGGTCACTTAAGCAAAGAAATATCACCTGAAGAGATGCTCTAAAATGACGGTTCGGTAAGACGAAATGGAACGTCATCTGAAGAATGCGCCAAAATGACCGGTTCGCGTAAAAAGATGAACATCACCTCGAGATTGCCGCCAAAATGACGGTTCGTAAACAAGATGAACTGTCACCTGAAGACATGTGCGCAAAATACCGCCCAAAAAAATGAACATCACCTAAGAATGCGCCAAATTACGTTCGCTAAACAAATGAACATCACCTGAGAAAGCACCAAAAAGACGGTTCGCTAAACAAATGAACATTACATGAAATTCACAGAATTACACCCCCCCCCGCCGTGACAGCTGTTCAGCGACGCCTCTTCGTAAAGTGTTTGTGTTTGTTAATGGCTCCCGCTAAGTCATCATGGTTTCTCATAATTCACAAGCGTGTAATTGTATAAAAAAATAAATATATAACGCAAACCACGAAACGCTCTTGATCACAGCTCGCCACCTTATAGAACAAGATCCGCAAATAACGTGCACCAGTACGGATCTTACTTTCAAGACTCGGTTTTAAAATTAAAATAATACTTATCACACAAAAGGTAAATTTATAAAAAATGAAGAAGAGCACATAGCAGTGAACTTTCTAATTTCAATTATACTACATAGAAATAATTAGAATATACTACATGGAATGGCGGACTCTTTCAGCGGACGGTTTCACCGCCCTTGGCGGACGCCCGACAAACTAGGGACTGCCATTATTTTTGCAGTCAAACCGTATGAGTTGTGGCCTGGATGCGGCGTATAGAACTTTTATTATACTGAATCGACATGTATCAGATCTTATGGTATATTGTTCTCTATTTCGCTCAACTTTATTTCAATTACATTTAACTGTATTTAAATATTATTGTGTTTACTTGTGTTATTGACAATTATTAATGACAAACGTGATGTTTATTGGATATTATTTATACTTGACTTATTTGCGATCTATTACTTTGGCTCTTATTGCCATAACATTCAATTCCTAGGGTTATGCTAACTACAATAATATTCCTATAGTTTCTGTGACATGAATCGTGTTTTTGAAGTCTCTAAATTAGTTTTTCTTACTTAATGTGAGTTTACTTTTTTAAAATGATTGGTTTTTTGGTCGTGAGAACACAGAGTAAGAGTTTTTATATTACGCGCAGCTCGCGCGCAACCGGCTGTAACCAGCGCCAAACTGAATTCACGAACACACTGTTTTTTTTTCAGAGGGCGCTGCTTTGAGTGCAAAAAACGTGGCTTCAATTTGCTGAAAGAAGGGGGCGCTTCAGCCCCACTGTGTAGTATATTCGTTGGGCCGTATGTACTCCAATTTGAACAGAATGGCTCGTTCAAGGTCACGAGCTGGACATGTTCATCCAATTGAGAGTTTCATTACGATTTAACGTTTTAGTTCTGGAACTTCCGGTTGGATGACAATGACCTCTTCTTCCAGCTCGTGACCTTGAAGAGCCGCTTTGTTTAAATCAGAGTACGTCGAACGGTGAAGCGATGCGCGCGGTTGCGGCTGTATGTGTGTACTGCCCGAGTGTGTGTTGTCGCTGGTGAATGTGTATATGCCGGTGGATGTGTATGCGGAAGCGTGTGTGTATATGTGGGGACGTTAGATCAGAATGCCACGTCCGCATTCGCTGACACATTTTCATCGCCCAAACAATCTTTTTAAATTTATTTGAAGTTGGCCGAAATAGACAAGGATACACTACTAAGAAAGGAATATTTTACAATAGAACATGAGTCATTTCAGGTGAAAAAATAACTTTCACCAATGGTATTTTCTCAATTAGAAGAAAAAAAGTTTATCATGTTGCTCAGAAACGATTCGTTTCTGTATAGCGGTTTTCTGACAAGTTCTCTTCTTCTGTAATGCCTGGAAGGTTGTGCTTAGATTAAGTTGAAACACTAAGGACCCTTTAAGTATTGCTGAACACATTTTATTTCTTTTTTATACAGGCAAACTAAAATGTAATTTTGTGAACTAACGAAATTGAGGTGGAACATATCACAGCATTGTATGGCGCACTGCCCTGCATTTGCACCTCTGGTTGCCAAAACTTTCGGTCGCTAGCTGACCGACAGAATTCCAATGCACTCCGTGTTCAAAACTGACCTCAAGATAACAACAGCACCTTGAGCTTTAGAAGTATGCATGATGTCCGCAAATACTCGTATATAGGCTGCGACACAATCGAAAAAAATGAGAAAAAAACCCACTTCGATTGGAATCTATACTTCTGACTCTCAATCAGCAAAAGAAATGATTTATTGTTAATATCAAAAAGATGTTTCTTCAACTGATGTGACATATTTGCACTTGCTTCCTAAAGTTCATATTTGAACCGAGAACACTAACAGTGTGTATTGACCCCTGAGTAATATTAAAATAAGCAAAATCCATTTATTTTAGTCACTCAAGGAACATGCCTCAAGAATATAATTCATCTTGCCTCAGAAATCGCAGTATATAAGTAATAACTGAATACATTGCACATCATTGAATTGATTTGACTACGTTTACGAAAATACAGGGAATAATGGCATTAGTTCAACAACCATTTATGAAGAGTTTTGGTACTTCTGTAGATGCATAATAGTTCTCACATCATACTTCGAAAAACTATTACGAATATACATATAATCTTCGCCCAGAATTTTCTATTTTCTCATAATTTTATTTCAAGATTTATATTTTCATTACAGCTAATTGTATGTTCTGCAACATGAGCTCTCAACTACAAGTACTAAAATGGACTTAATTTAGGTTAAGAGCAGTAGTAAAATTGTGATAAACAGTAAAAGTGGAAGAGCATTAAAATTTAATTACAAGTATTTCAGAAAACACAAAAGATAACTAATTAATTAAAAAATTAATGTGACTGAAACAGATGCGAGTTATTATGACGAGTGTTTTTGAATGCACACAACGGCAAACATATTACGAAAGAATTCATAAGGATACATAGTAATTTGTAGTAGGTTTAAATGAAATGAAATTTCTTTTTAATGCAGGGAGAAATTTTTCTGTCGGTACGACCCACTCACAAATGACGTCAAAGTAATTTGAATCTTGTTTGCAAAGTAATGAATAGTCTAGGACATTAAAAAAATACTTTGGCCGTTTCCACGCGCTCGGGGCTGGGCCATTAATATTCATCACCGCAGTGTAAATCATTCTGGTTTGCTTACTGCCACACTCGCGGTTTTATAGCCGTCTCTCCCTCTCAGCGACCCTCCGACGAAGGAAGTAAACGTCAGCGAGGCACGACCGCTACCAAAAAAGGTCGTATCCGGACTAGGAGGCCTGCTCCGCGCCAGCGAAGTGGGGAGAAAGGCGTTCCCAGCCGCTTCCGACGTTTTGCAATTACGGCTCCGCCGCCGCCGCGCGAACCGAATCCGCGCCGGCCACGCGTGAACGAACGGGTCCGCGCGCGAGCAGACGATAACGCGACTTGCGAACTTTTCCTCGCGCCGGAGCGTAACGAGGTGCAGCGACGGCGCGACGCCGTCGTAATGAAGCTATAAATTAGAATAACAATTTTAATAAACGACGCTCGGAGCGCCGCCAGAGCGCAGCACCTGTGGCGCGGTAACGAGCGACGTCTCCCTGACTACCACCCCCCTCCACCCACTTCCAAGGAGACCCCTTGGCTCAGATGCGATTTTCTTCGGACGTCGTCGGCTGGTCTCGGGCACGGTGGGAGGGGAAGCCGAAATTGGTGTTTCGTTTTTTAATTCTAAATTTAGCCTAGCTTTGTCTGTTATTTAATCACGGTTCCTTGCGATTTTGCCTATAGAGCATGTGGGGTAATGGTCTCCTCTAAGTAAAATTGGAAAGTATGGACGTGGTCCGTTGGTGTCCCCCCACCTCTCCTCCACGGAGGCACCTTGGCTCAGATGCGATTTCCTTCGGAAGTCGTCAGC